CCCAAACCCTCGCCATGCTACCAAAGGTCAGAGGTTATACCAGTACTTGCCAACAGTGCATAACAGAGACGTGACCAACCTCCCAAGTGGCTAATGAGCTGATCAGTGGCGAAGAGGATAAAAGTAAAAGTAAAGTAAAAATAAAAATTTTGAAATTGCTGGCTTTACAATGTTTATGCACAGTATCGTGTAAACTTTCAGAAATATCATGTGCAACAAATTTCCATTAAGTCAAAACTGGATCTCATGATGATTAAGAATCCAAGCTTATTTCACTTGATGATTAAACCCCCTAATGCAACAGTGGGAAGTTTGGACTGGGCTAGGCTAGGCTAGGCTAGTCTAGGCTATGTTAGGTTAGGTCAGGTCAAATCAGGCCAGGTCAGGACAGGTTGGCATTAGGATGTTTAATCATTAAGTAAAATAAGAGAGTGGGAGGAGCATGCTTCTAGAGATTTTCAAACACTGTACTAAGGGATGAACAGTGTGCACACAACATGACCACTATGACCATCAACAAGTAATATTAAAGGAAGAGTTCCTCCTAGTTCTATAAGTACAATAGATACACACCAACACCATTAGACCTCACCTATCTAAACTCAGATGTGTGAAAGTGTGCAAGTTGATTTCACAAATTTATGATTACGGATAAACCACTATAAACCACTTTTGATTACAGGCATTCCACGATTTACAATGGGGTTTTCGGGAATGGATAACTATTTATTTATTTATTTATTTATTTTTTTTTTTTTTTTTTGCAGGGAAGAGCCCACCAGGGCACAGGTCATCGACCCACAATGGGGCCTGGGGGCAAAAAAATAAGAGTAAAAAGAAATTAAAATAGAAAAGAAAAAGACTATATTAATCTACACCACGAAGATGATGGAAAACCATCTTTTTAAAGTGAGACAGATTGTATGAGTATGGAAACAGAAGAAGGCAGAGCATTCCACAGTTTGGTTGTGTAAGGAAAGAAGGAGTTACTATAACAGGTTATTCTAATGTGACCGACAGGCACAGAAAAATGGTGGGCACCGCGGGCTAGATGTGTGTTACGAGCTCACGGCCTTGCCGGTGGTACACAGGATGCCAAATCCACTGAACATTGCCAGTTAAAGTACCTGTAAAAGAGAGAGCGAAGCAACATTGCGGCGAAGAGACAGGGAAGAAATATTGTCAACTAAAGGAGGAGAGTTAATAAGATGATTCTACCCTATCTAACAGTTGGACAGAAGAAGAGCCACCCCAGATATGAGAGCAGTACTCCAAGTTAGGACGAATGAATCCCTTATATACTTGAAGCAACTTCTCAGGAGTGAAGTAGCTACGGCATCTATACAGCATTCCCAACTTTCGGGAGGCAGCTTTAGCAATGTTGTGAAGGTGTGACTTCCATGACATATTAGAGGAAATATTGAGGCCTAGCATATCAATTTTAGAACTTGGCAGAATGATTGCATCCTGAAATGTGATTGGTGGGAGATCTTCTAATTTAGAAAGTGTAATTGGTAAATACTGAATTTTATTACTATTGAATTTAACCAAGTTTCTACCTACCCATTCGGAGATGTGGCACAGATCCACATACGTAGATGAAATGATATCACCTCTAGAAACAGATCTAGATTGAGAATTAGGGGGAAGGGAAAAATGTGAAGAAGAGTGAAGAGTAGAATCATCAGCGTAAGAATGAATAGAATTAGTCGTAGTGTGAAGTAAATCACTAATAAAAAGAAAGAAGAGAGTAGATGAAAGAACCCTGCGGGACACCACTCTTGGTAGAAAAAGAGTAAGATATCGATCCCTCAATAACAAATGCCATGGATTACATCTCAAGGAAGCTAGAAATTAGAGAACAAAGTGTGGTCACTATGAAAGTTTCCCCATAATCCCTAAGAGAGGATGACCAAAGATGGGTGCAATAGGAGAGCAGATCACCAATAGATCTCGCCTGGAAAAAGCCATACTGGTGATCCAACAAAAGAGAAAAAGCGTTCAAGGTGATGAACAAAATTAGAGTTTAAGATAGTGTAAAAAATCTCAGTATAGGGATGAAGTGAAGGCAATTGGGTGATAGATAAAGGGATTAGAATGGTCACCCTTCTTCGGGATGGACTGAACCAAGGCATGCTTCCAAGAAGAAGGAAAAGTTTGGGTTTTGAGACAAAGGCAAAAGAGGCGAGCAAGCACATGGGCCAGAATTTAAGCAAACTCTCTCAGAACACGAGGGGGTATTCTGTCCGGTCCATGCACCTTACTCACATCCAAACTGGATAACACACCAGCAACCCTACGAGTGGAGTTTATAGGAAAGTGCATAGGTTCAGTAGGAGGAGTAGGAGGGATAGAGTTGGACTCGTCTAAGGTGGAGTTAGAGGAGAATAAGGTGTCAAAGAGACTGGCTTTATCAAGGGAGAATTGGCTATAGAGTTATCAGGTTGGAAGAGAGGAGAAAAAGAGGGAGTGCAGAAGTTGTTACAGATGTTTTGGTTAAGAACCAGAAGGATTTACTAGAGAAAGAATTAGTCAGGACAGCAGTCTTTCTTTTTATAAAATTCCGCTTGGCCCTACGAAGAATAGCCTTACAAAGATTCCTAGAAGTAATGAAAGAAGTGTGGGTAATAGAAGGAGATAGTTTCATAGCTTGATATGCCCTATCTCTCACCCTGCATGCAAGAGAACAAGAGCGATCAAACCATGATATCGTGAAAGTTTTGGTAGAAGATGGGATAAATGCACTCATGCCACCCTGTATAACCCCAACAATGCTATCAGCACATACCGAGGCATCCCGAGTGAAAAAGCAACATTCATCCCAAGAAAAGTCGGAGAAGACTTCTCGCAAGGATTGCCAAGTTGCCCTCCGATAGTGCCAGTAGGCTCTCGCCAATAACGACTTCCACAATAACGTTTTCGACAATAACGGTAAGTTACAATAGATACCCATTTTCGATAATAACGTCTGGATTCTCTTGAATAACGGAGATTTCGCGGGAAGCGTCCGAGCGCATCAAAGATAGCGTTTGTTTGCCGCCATGTTGATGACATAGTTGTCCGCTCCGCCTCACTCTCACTCTCACACACGCTCCGTGGAATACAGCACTGCGCCCACTTGTGAGATTTTCTCTTCTATAACCAGTGGTTGCTAGGGTCGGTGATCAATAATGGCTTCCGCATTTTTGCCTGTGGGGGTTAGGGGAGGTGGTGGAGGGAGTGATTTGCCGCCTGAATGCCTGGGAACTTTTAAAGTGAATGAGAAAAAAGACCCCAAAGCTAAGAGACAAAGCCACAAGAAGCGTGTCTACTCGGTCAAGGATAAAGAACAGATTGTTGACCTCATTGAAAGTGGTGCACGGAACATTGATATTGTGAGGAAATTGAACTGTCCTGAGTCTACAGTGCAAAATATTAAGAGGAACTTAGAGGAGACCAAGAAGAGTATTGCGCTGGCTAAGAAATATTTCGGTAGTGATGGAAATGCGAGGCGAGCTATGAATGATAAAAGTGATAGAAACAGATTGATAGTGATAACAGAGCATTTTCTTGTGAAATGGTTAGCTTGTAGAATGAAAGACAGTGCAAGTGTTAGCGGCCCTCAAATACGGAACAACCATCACACCAAGCACCTCAAAAACTCCCCCAAGCTAAGTGTTATATTACTCAAACTCTGTATTTTGATGATTGAATAACAATCCTTTATATTTCAGCGAACAAAAAGTGTTAGGGGGGCTTCTAAGGGGAAAAATTGGGTGAAATTCTTGGGGCGGCGGCACCAATAAACCCTTTTTACGAGTATTTTAATGTCACACAAATAATGTTTTCGCTAATAACGGCATTTTTCAGGCACCTATTAAACATTATTGGCGAGAGCCTACTAGTTGGCGTTTAGAGGGGGTGAGGAAGGTGGTCGTGCCCAGTTTTATTTAATAAAAAATAAGATTGTGATCAGAAGATCCTAAGGGGGCAGAAATTGAGTATGAATAATGTGAGGGGTTAGAGGTAAAACAAAGATCAAGAATGTTTGTAAGTTGATCGTGTTGATCAGGAACACGTGTAGGGTGTTTAATTATTTGTTCCAGATCATTAAGTAGGGAAAAAGAGAGTGCCTCAGCTCCAACTGGGTCATCCCTTGCAGAGCCAAGCCACTCTCTGTGATGTACATTGAAATCCCCTAGATAGAGGATCTCGGTGTTGGGGTGTGTGGATAGCAACGACTCGTGGCAAGAAGTGAGATAGTCAAAGAGTTCGAAATAGTTGGTAGAGTTGGGAGAACAGTATAGGAAACAAAGAAAAATAGTCACATAGGTAGAGATATTTTGAGCCAGATGACATCATAAAGAGAAGATTCAAAATCCGTGAGTCGAGCTATAGGTGTACATGTGTAGCAGTAGGAGCATACACTTCCCTTAGAATGGAGAGAGGTATAAAGGTTGTAGTTGGAGACTTGAAAAGGTTTGGGTGAAGCTGCTTTTGTCAGTTGAAGTTCAGATAGTAGTAAAAGGACAGAGGAAGAGGTTAATAGATGGTGCTCCACAGAAGGAAAATTGGATCTCAGGCCGCGAATGTTGGAAAAATTAAGTGTGAAAAAGGCCGATACTCCAGCAACCGCTGTGACGTCAGTTGATGCCCCAGTAGTTTGATGATGATCAGGTTGGCCCTGGGGTCCACAACCATCCTGCCCAGTGGGACCCATCCTAGAAAGCCCTGTTTTAATATTATTGTCAACTGATCTCATAGGAAAATAAAAGAATAGAAAGAATAAAACAGATCAAGAGTGAGAAAGGTTATATATGTTGTGTTGTCATTAGTAAGAGAGACAATTGAGACCCTGCAATTGTGTGTAAATGAGGCAGAAAGACAGATCAGCAACCTGGGACTTAGTCACAATGGAAGCCTGTACTTCTGCCAAATATGTGTAATAAATGTAGTGTTGGGCAAGAAAGAGCTAGTTATGGTCAGTACAGTACAGTATTTAAGAGATAAAAATGATGTACCTGGCAATCATTTCACACACGATGATGCCAAAGCTGAAGACATCCACTCGATGGTCATACCAGTCGCCCCGGATGACCTCGGGAGCCATCCAGTAAGGAGACCCCACCTGACGTAGACGCATACACCTGCCAAAAGTATAAAATTATTAACCTCAACCTAAGTCAGCTATAAAACTTTTATGTTTAAATACTGTACCAAACTGATATTTTGACAGAGTAAAATTTCAAATATTGTATTAGAATTAAATTTTGGCTGCCTTTAATGTCTTTCTGATAATTTAGTGTGTACCACCTAGAACCTGACTCAGTACTCCCCAGATCATGCCACTATGAGCTCCTCTATTATCACCTTTTTAAGGAGGTTGCGAAGAGGATAGAAGTACAGTATGCCCAGATAATTCGCTACTATTCGCAGATGACACCCTGGATGTACCCAAGAATGTCTGCGAGTAGTTTTAAATTTGTAGGAATTTTCACAGCAGGGACAGGGAGCCATTTGTTCTTGAGACAGTGATTTCCTTTACTTGTATTGTATATATGTGTGTGTGTGTGTGTGTTTTAGACATGCACACACACACATATATATATACAATACAGGTAACAGAAATATTTGTTCTTAGGGCAAACATATAAAGGGAATATACATTTCTTTGTACACATGTAAAAATGGACCCCCCCCTCCTTCCCAATGGTCAGCAAATGTTAGTCGCGAATTTGAAGGGCCTACTGTACAGCTTATTGTAATTCCTTCATGTGCTAAAGATTTCGCTGTGCCAGAAAGATGCTGCTGCCGCTCCTCCAGCACAAGATGTAACCTCCCCCCCCCCACATGCAGCATCTGTGGACAACCCTGCCGGTCCCGTATCAGCCTCTCGAGTCACCTCAGTACTCACTAACGAAGATGACATCCTTAAAACCTCATACCATTGTAGCATTGCTGGATGGTCGTCATACTTGATTCCAAGTGACAGCAAAGTAGTGTTAGCATGTGTGTATGTCACACCATAGTAATCCATTACTGGAAAAATGGTTAGGTTAGGCAATGTAAAGCACAGTACTGCAACAAAGCCTCAGGTGTACCACCAACTACCATCAACATCCACTTCTGAGGAACATTGGAAATGTGTGTGACCTTGATTCTATAAGTACACTTACCACACACAAACCTGACCACTGACCTTTTTATGTGGCAGTATACAATCAGGAGTAACTGTCAACATTTTATGTGGCAGTACACAGTCAGTATTAACTGTCAACATTTTATGTGGCAGTATACAGTCAGTATTAACTGTCAACATTTTATGTGGCAGTACACAGTCAGTATTAACTGTTAACATTTTATGTGGCTGTACACAGTCAGTATTAACTGTCAACATTGTATGTGGCTGTACACAGTCACTATTAACTGTCAACATGAATGTTGATGGATGAACAAAAAACTACATCAGAGACACTTACTCTGTGTGTGAAGTCATAATGTTCACCTTGAGTTGTTTAGTGACAACTTAAACAGTACAGTACTTCAGATGTTTCTGTCCACATGCCTCAAGCACAGGTTGTCTTGCAGCCATTTTCCGCACTAAAGTGGGTTAGCGGAGATTACTTCCTGGCATAATGTTTTTCTTGCTAACAAACAAATTTTAAGGAAGTTTTACAGTTGGATGCTCTTCCTAATGCCAACCCACTTTTACCGAGTGGAAACTGGGCATTATATGTAGAACTTCCAAGTGTTCTCTTATCTGCCATGGTAGGGTAACTGCTTCCTTTGCTAATAAAAAATTACCTGCCTATGTGAGTAAAGTTAGAGACTCATTCACAGTTGGGTGGACTGGCAGCACCCTGAATGTAGAGCTTGTTTATGAGATATAAGTGTTAATAATGAGTCATAAGTGTTAATAATGAGTCATAAGTGTTGATAATGAGTCATAAGTGTTAATAATAGGTCATAAGTATTAATAATGAGTCATAAGTGTTAATATTGAGTCATGTGTTGATAATAAGTAATAAGTGTTAATAATGAGTCATAAGTGTTAATAATGAGTCATAAGTGTTAATAATGAGTCATAAGTGTTAATAATGAGTCATAAGTGTTAATAATGAGTCATAAGTGTTAATAATGAGTCATAAGTGTTAATAATGAGTCATAAGTGTTAATAATGAGTCATAAGTGTTGATAATAGGTCATAAGTGTTAATAATGAGTCATAAATGTTAATAATGAGTTATAAGTGTTAATAATGAGTCATAAGTGTTAATAATGAGTCATAAGTGTTGATAATAGGTCATAAGTGTTAATAATGAGTCATAAGTGTTAATAATGAGTCATAAGTGTTGATAATAAGTAATAAGTGTTAATAATGAGTCATAAGTGTTAATAATGAGTCATAAGTGTTAATAATGAGTCATAAGTGTTAATAATGAGTCATAAGTGTTGATAATAGGTCATAAGTGTTAATAATGAGTCATAAGTGTTAATAATGAGTCATAAGTGTTGATAATAAGTAATAAGTGTTAATAATGAGTCATAAGTGTTAATAATGAGTCATAAGTGTTAATAATGAGTCATAAGTGTTAATAATGAGTCATAAGTGTTAATAATGAGTCATAAGTGTTAATAATGAGTCACAAGTGTTAATAATGAGTCATAAGTGTTAATAATGAGTCATAAGTGTTAATAATGAGTCATAAGTGTTAATAATGAGTCATAAGTGTTAATAATGAATCATAAGTGTTAATAATGAGTCACAAGTGTTAATAATAGGTCATAAGTGTTAATAATGAGTCATAAGTGTTAATAATGAGTTATAAGTGTTAATAATGAGTCATAAGTGTTAATAATGAGTCATAAGTGTTAATAATGAGTCATAAGTGTTGATAATAGGTCATAAGTGTTAATAATGAGTCATAAGTGTTAATAATGAGACATAAGTATTAATAATGAGACATAAGTATTAATAATGAGTCATAAGTGTTAATAATGAGTCATAAGTGTTAATAATGAGTAATAAGTGTTAATAATGAGACATAAGTATTAATAATGAGACATAAGTGTTAATAATGAGTCATAAGTGTTGATAATGAGTCATAAGTGTTGATAATGAGTCATAAGTGTTAATAATGAGACAAGTGTTAATAATGAGTCATAAGTGTTAATAATGAGTCATAAGTGTTAATAATGAGTCATAAGTGTTGATAATGAGTAATAAGTGTTAATAATGAGACATAAGTATTAATAATGAGACATAAGTGTTAATAATGAGTCATAAGTGTTAATAATGAGTCATAAGTGTTAATAATGAGTCAAAAAAAGTTGATAATAGGTCATAAGTGTTAATAATGAGTCATAAGTGTTAATAATGAGACATAAGTATTAATAATGAGTCATAAGTGTTAATAATGAGTCATAAGTGTTAATAATGAGTCATAAGTGTTGATAATAAGTAATAAGTGTTAATAATGAGACATAAGTATTAATAATGAGACATAAGTGTTAATAATGAGTCATAAGTGTTAATAATGCGTCATAAGAATTAATAATGCATCATAAGGGTTAATAATGAGACATAAGTATTAATAATGAGTTATAAGTGTTAATAATGAGTCATAAGTGTTTATAATGAGTCATAAGTGTTAATAATGAGTCATAAGTGTTAATAATGAGTCATAAGGGTTAATAATGAGACATAAGTATTAATAATGAGTCATAAGTATTAATAATGAGTCATAAGTGTTAATAATGAGTCATAAGTATTAATAATAAGTCATAAGTGTTAGTCATAAGTGTTAATAATGAGTCATAAGTGTTAATAATGAGTTATAAGTGTTAATAATGAGTCATAAGTGTTAATAATGAGTCATAAGTGTTGATAATAGGTCATAAGTGTTAATAATGAGTCATAAGTGTTAATAATGAGACATAAGTATTAATAATGAGACATAAGTATTAATAATGAGTCATAAGTGTTAATAATGAGTCATAAGTGTTAATAATGAGTAATAAGTGTTAATAATGAGACATAAGTATTAATAATGAGACATAAGTGTTAATAATGAGTCATAAGTGTTGATAATGAGTCATAAGTGTTGATAATGAGTCATAAGTGTTAACAATGAGACAAGTGTTAATAATGAGTCATAAGTGTTAATAATGAGTCATAAGTGTTGATGAGTAATAAGTGTTAATAATGAGACATAAAGTGGTAATAAGAGACATAAGTGTTAATAATGGAGTCATAGAGGTATTGTAATGAGTCATAGTGTTAATAATGAGTCAAAAAGTTGATATGGGTCATAGTGTTAATAATGAGTCGCAAAATTAATTAATGAGACATAAGAGTAGTAATAATGAGTCGCCAAGTGTTATGTGAGTCATAAGTGTTAATAATGAGTCATAAGTGTTGATAATAAGTAATAAGTGTTAATAATGAGACATAAGTATTAATAATGAGACATAAGTGTTAATAATGAGTCATAAGTGTTAATAATGCGTCATAAGAATTAATAATGCATCATAAGGGTTAATAATGAGACATAAGTATTAATAATGAGTTATAAGTGTTAATAATGAGTCATAAGTGTTTATAATGAGTCATAAGTGTTAATAATGAGTCATAAGTGTTAATAATGAGTCATAAGGGTTAATAATGAGACATAAGTATTAATAATGAGTCATAAGTATTAATAATGAGTCATAAGTGTTAATAATGAGTCATAAGTATTAATAATAAGTCATAAGTGTTAATAATGAGTCATAAGTGTTAATAATGAGTCATAAGGGTTAATAATGAGACATAAGTATTAATAATGAGTCATAAGTATTAATAATGAGTCATAAGTGTTAATAATGAGTCATAAGTGTTAATAATGAGTCATAAGTGTTGTTTGTGAGATATAAGTGTTGTTAATGAGTCATAAGTGTTGTTAATGAGTCATATGTGTTGTTAATAAGATATGAGTCATAAGTGTTGTTAATAAGATATGAGTCATAAGTGTTGTTATAAGATATGGGCATTAATAATGAGTCATAAGTGTTGTTAATAAGATATGAATCATAAGTGTTGTTAATAAGATATGGGCATTAATAATGAGTCATAAGTGTTGTTAATAAGATATGAGTCATAAGTGTTGTTAATAAGATATGAGTCATAAGTGTTGTTAATAAGATATGAGTCATAAGTGTTGTTAATAAGATATGAGTCGCAAGTGTTGTTAATAAGATATGAGTCATAAGTGTTGTTAATAAGATATTAGTCATAAGTGTTGTTAATAAGATATGAGTCATAAGTGTTGTTAATAAGATATGAGTCATAAGTGTTGTTAATAAGATATGAGTCATAAGTGTTGTTAATAAGATATGGGCATTAATAATGAGTCATATGTGTTGTTAATAAGATATGAGTCATAAGTGTTGTTAATAAGATATGAGTCATAAGTGTTGTTAATAAGATATGGGCATTAATAATGAGTCATAAGTGTTGTTAATAAGATATGAGTCATAAGTGTTGTTAATAAGATATAGAGTCATAAGTGTTGTTAATAGATATAGGTCATAAGTGTTGTTAATAAGATATAGGTCATAAGTGTTGTTAATAGATATGAGTCATAAGTGTTATTAATAAGATATAGTCATAAGTGTTCATTAATAAGATATGAGTCATAAGTGTTGTTAATAAAGATATGAGTCACCAAAGTGTTGTTAATAAGATATGAGTCATAAGTGTTGTTAATAAGATGTAGGTCATAAGTGTTGTTAATAAGATATGAGTCGCCAAGTAATTGTTAATAAGATGCCAGAGTCATAAGTGTTGTTAATAAGATATGGGCATTAATAATGAGTCATAAGTGTTGTTAATTAAGATATGAGTCATAAGTGTTGTTAATAAGATATGAGTCATAAGTGTTGTTAATAAGATATGGGCATTAATAATGAGTCATAAGTGTTGTTAATAAGATATGAGTCATAAGTGTTGTTAATAAGATATGAGTCATAAGTGTTGTTAATAAGATATGAGTCATAAGTGTTGTTAATAAGATATGAGTCATAAGTGTTGTTAATAAGATATGAGTCATAAGTGTTGTTAATAAGATATGGGCATTAATAATGAGTCATAAGTGTTGTTAATAAGATATGAGTCATAAGTGTTGTTAATAAGATATGAGTCATAAGTGTTGTTAATAAGATATGAGTCATAAGTGTTGTTAATAAGATATGAGTCATAAGTGTTGTTAATAAGATATGAGTCATAAGTGTTGTTAATAAGATATGAGTCATAAGTGTTGTTAATAAGATATGAGTCATAAGTGTTGTTAATAAGATATGAGTCATAAGTGTTGTTAGTGAGATATAAATGTAAGGAGTGTGGTGGTCAAATAGATACAGCACTCGCCTCCTGTTCCAGGTTGGTGGTCCAATCCCAGGCACCCTCAAGTTTACAAATTGGGGACGTGAAGGCAGTTGACCACAGTACCAGCCATGCTGCCTCCTTGTGTACCGAGTGTGCTGTATCCACACTGGCCCTAACAGGCAGCATGCCTATGGACCCTACTTTCACTTGAGAGTTGTATGTGTTATTGATAAGACACAACCAACACGCACACTTACCTCTCATGTGGTATGGGTGCAGCAAGACCAAAATCTGCAATCACAGCCGTAAGTTTGTGTTCACCAGCCTCATGTGTGTGCTTGATCAATACATTCTGTAAACACCAATACCCGAACTTAATTATGTTTTTTACGTCCAAGAAATTACCTGTAATATGAATTAATTGAGACCACTTGAACATTACATACCACAGCTTAATTCATCTTAAGATCAGCCATCTGATTTTATTTCATCTGAAAATTAGCCACACCAACTTGTTTCCTCTGAAACTTAGCCACCCCAGCTTATTTCATCTTAAGATTAAACAACCTAACATTACCAGAAGAGGGGATTAGGTTAAGTTAGGTTAAGAAAGGTTACAATATGTTGGGTTAGGTTATATATCAGAGCGGTTAATAAACTGGGGTTAATCTTCAAGTGGAATAAGCTACGGCAGGGGATTAATCTTTACGTCACCAATTTCCTTCAATATGAACACAATAGTACTGTACATGCTAATATAATAATAAAATATATATATATATATATATATATATATATATATATATATATATATATATATATATATATATATAACATATATATATATATATATATATATATATATTTATATATATATATATATATATATATATATATATATATATATATATATATATATATATATATATATATATATATATATATATATATATATATATATATATATATATATATATATATATATATATATATATATATATATATATATATATATATATATATATATATATATATATATATCTACAAGAGTAAAGTTGGACTTACAAACAAGCCTCAGGAATGTAACTCGTTAATAAGTAGAGGAGCACCTGTACTTCAAATTTTGTCCAAAGACCTATTGGCAATTTTTTATAATAAGTATTTTCTGGTTTTTCAAGTACTGTACAATACTACTCGGCATTAAACTTTAATGCAAACTTCTTGCTTTTTCTTACCATTTTGACAAATATTCCAATATACTTACAATATTCTTTTTTTTTTTTTCAAGTACAATGCAGAAACAATTTCATTAATACCTATTACACTTAACTACGAAAGATGGTGTTGCATGAATTATTAAAGCAGGTTAGTGTTTACTGTACATTACTGCACCTTGGAAGTGAGGTCTCTGTGAAACACCCCTTGAGAGTGTAGATAAGCCATGCCCCGCGCTACGTCCAAGGCCAGGGAGACGCGAGTCACCCAGGGCAGGAACACAGTCTGGTCACCAATCAGAGAATCCAAAGACCCTCCATTGATATACTGAAACATACACAGTACATTACCTATGATATACTGAAACATACAAAGTATATTACCTATGATATAATGAAAAATACAAAGTACATTACCTATGATATACTGAAACATACACAGTACAGTTAACCCTCACTTTACGCGGTTAATGTAACCCGGAGGGTCCCGCGTAAAGTGAATAACATAACATATGGGATTAATTGAAATGGAGTCCGGGCCGACCCCCAAACTCCACTTTTTGACGACACACAACTATGTTGTAGTAAAAATTTTATCTTAACTTTATGATGGTATGAAAAAACAAGTAATATAGAAGAGGTTAGGTTAGGAAAAATAAAGGTTAACATAGGAAAACTAAAGGTTAGGTTAGAAAAACTAAAACTTAGGTGGAACACTTACGGTAGTTGAAGAGATGGGTCGGCATACGGGGATGGAGGCTGGTTCCGAGGCAGAGAGCAGATTACTGGCCCTCAGGTGAATCACCATTACTAGGTGAAGCACCATCACTGTCACTTACAGTTGTCAGGGCTTCCCTGACAAATCCCTCAAAGTCATCTTCACTGTCACTATCACTGGCTTGGGCTGGCTGTGGTGGGTTGCGGGCGAAGAACTCGGTTATGCTTTTTTGACGGCTGGTGTTTATGTTGTCGTGATACACCGTGATGTACGGCTCCAAAGCCTGCACCAGCCGGGTATGGAAGACTTCATAGCGGTCATCGTCGCGGGAAAGGAAGGACTTCATTTTCTCTGCACACTCCATGGCACCCTTAATATCACTATGACTTAAACTGTGTTCTTCGGAGAATGACGCACCTTCTTCCTCCTCTTCATTGACGTGATCTTCTTCCAACATCTCATCGGCAGTCACTTCAGGATCTCTGATCACCTCCAGGATGTCGTCGTTGGTGGTCTCGGAGAAGCCTGGAACTGTAACAGTCTGCGCAGCTTCTCTGGCAAGGTCCACTGCTACTGCAACAGTCTGAACCTCACCAGTCACAGATTGACTCCTCCTCTCACCTGGTATTCCATACAACACATGTCTCCATGTGTGACGAATTGTAGCAATAGACAGCTGATCCCATGACTCCACCAAGAAGTCCACAGCTTTCTTGATGTTAAATACTCTCCAGAATTGTTTGAACAGTATTTTTTGCTGTGCCAACTGTTGATCCTCATCTTCTTCGCTCTTGCTATCGGTGGTGGTGTCACTCAGGTTACGCAACTCTTCCCTGGTGTTGGTGTAGTCGTTCAGGAGTTTGAATTTTTTTGTTGAGAATGCAGCTTTTACATTACAGATTAACTCTTGGTCCATGGGCTGTAATATAGACGTAGTGTTGGGAGGAAGGAAGACCACTTTTACGTTGGGGTGACGATCTAACAGTAGGGGCGAGTGTCCTGGTGCGTTGTCCAGCAGCAACAAAATATTGAATGGCACATTCTGTCGCTCACAGAATTTCTTTACATCGGGAACAAAACAGTCATCAAACCAGGAGAGGGACAGTGCAGAGAACATCCACGCCTTACGTGCGGTCAGCCAATGGACATTTAGCTTGGTCATGTCCATGGTTTTGTAGGCGTGCGGCTTGCGTGCTGTGTGGATCACCGATAACTTGAGCTTACAGGTACCGGAGGCTTTGGTGGTAAACAGGACGGTGATGCGTTCCTTCTGCATCTTCCGGCCCCGAATCCTGCTGGCATTCTTTACAACGAAGGACTTGGAAGGTAGCTTTTTCCAGAGAAGACCAGATTCGTCCATGTTAAACACCTGGTCGTCACTGTACTGTCCTTCCTCCATAATCTCACGTAAAAACGGAGGAAATTCCCGAGCCGCAGCACGGTCAGCACTCGCTTCTTCACCACCAATGTTTATATTGGTGATCTTGTTCCGGATCTTAAACCTCTGTAACCACCCAGAGGAAGCATTAAAGGGTTTGGGCTCTGTAATTCCCATCTTTCGTGCCACTGCCATGTACAGTTCACGTGCGTAGTCCTTAACAGAGCGCGTGTCGACCGCCATGTTCCGTCGCGCCTGACGCACCAAGTACCTCACAAGTAATTTTTCTGTCTTGAGAAGCACCTGGTTGTGAAAATACTTGATCATAGAAGCACCTGTAGACTTTGTGATCTTCATGTGCTCCTTTATCTTGGCTGCATCCTTCTTTATTGTTCGAATCGTAGATTCATTCACACCATGATGGCACGCCAAATCAACCTGCCTTGTTCCTTTCTCCAACTCTTGGATGATGGTATACTTCACCTCGTAGCTTAAGGAACGTCTTATCTTCTTTGGCTTAGTGCCGCTGGGTCCAAGTAAGGAAAGGTTTCTCTCTGGGGGTGGTGGTCCGGCGGAAGCCATTTTACAGAACAATGGATGCACGTTTACACAGTGTGGCCTTGAGGGATGAAACTGCCGCAGCTAGGTCAAGCGTCGTCTTTCCTCCCTCCCTCCCTCCCTCCCCCGGGTGGACACGTCATAATACTTAAAGCCAATTACAGCTAGCAGCAGAGGGGGGTAGGGATGCATGGCCAATCACAGTCCGATACGTCATATGACGTCAGTGATAACGCAACAAAGACACACACTGCGCAACCTTACCGCGCGGCTTGCCCAAGCGGAGGGAGGAGGAGGGAGAGGCGAGGAGCACAGGCAGGCAGGCGGGCGGGCGGGTGGGGCGAATCTAAAAATAGTGTCGCGCCGGACACTCTCCGCGTAATGGGGTTCACGTACCGCGTAATGTGAGCACGTTAGGTTCTGGCAAGGCACCGCGTAAACGTGGAAACGCGAAATGCGGGACCGCATAAAGTGAGGGTTAACTGTATATTACCTATGATATACTGAAACATACACAGTACATTACCTATGATATACTGAAACATACACAGTACATTACCTATGATATACTGAAACATACACAGTACATTACCTATGATATACTGAAACATACAAAGTACATTACCTATGATATACTGAAACATACACAGTACATTACCTATGATATACTGAAACATACACAGTACATTACCTATGATATACTGAAACATACACAGTACATTACCTATGATATACTGAAACATACACAGTACATTACCTATGATATACTGAAACATACACAGTACATTACCTATGATATACTGAAACATACACAGTACATTACCTATGATATACTGAAACATACACAGTACATTACCTATGATATACTGAAACATACAAAGTACATTATGCATGCTGGAAACATACATTTGATACCTACTGAAACATACACAGTATTACCTGTGTATAAAACATACACGGTACATTACCTATGATATACTACAAAAGTACATTATATGATATACTGAAACATACACAGTACATTACCTATGATATACTGAAACATACACAGTACATTACCTATGATATACTGAAACATACACAGTACATTACCTATGATATACTGAAACATACACAGTACATTACCTATGATATACTGAAACATACACAGTACATTACCTATGATATACTGAAACATACACAGTACATTACCTATGATATACTGAAACATACACAGTACATTACCTATGATATACTGAAACATACACAGTACATTACCTATGATATACTGAAACATACACAGTACATTACCTATGATATACTGAAACATACACAGTACATTACCTATGATATACTGAAACATACACAGTACATTACCTATGATATACTGAAACATACACAGTACATTACCTATGATATACTGAAACATACACAGTACAGTGGGGTATGCTATAACGAACGGATCCTACTACGAATATTCCTATAACGAACGGTTTTACCTATAAAATTGAGAATGCTATAACGAACGCAACTCCTACAATGAACGCGGATGAATACCGGACTATTTCGCCTGGCGCATGAATATTGTTGTACCACGACCCACAACAAGAGCGTCAGGCGCCATCTTTGTCTCAGTGTGTAGCCAGTGCACCACTGTTATTGTTGAAATTTCGTCTTTTGATGTGGAAATTCGCGTTATTTGTATAACTATTTTGTTATACAAGTATACAATTGTAACAATGAGTCGTCCAAAGCGAGTGAGAAAGCTAATAACCCTTGAAACTAAGAAAGAAATTATAAAGAAACGTGAGAATGGAAGAAGCATTGCGAAACTTAGTGATGAATATGGGATGGCTAAATCGACTATATGTACGATTTTGAAGAATAAAGAGGAGTTAAAAACTGTGCAAGTGGCTAAGGGAATCTTTAGACTTAGCAAAGCAAGGTGTAATGTGATTGAAGAGATGGAAAATTTACTCTTAGTGTGGATAAAGGAGAAAGAAATGGCAGGTGGTAACATTAGTGAAGCTATAATTTGTGAGAAGGCTAAACAATTGTTTGAGGATCTTAAAGCCAAGACTCCCAGTGGAAGTGATAGTGATGTGCCAGTGTTTAGGGGTACCTGCATGCTGAATAACACTAAGGTAAGATAAAGTACCGTATTTTTTACATTTTCCACAGAATTTTTTCAGTGTTAAGCGGTTGTATTTGGGGGCCTGGAACGGATTAACCCTATAACGAAAGAATGCTATAACGAACGAGGTTCTGGAACCAATTACGTTCGTTATAGCATACCCCACTGTACATTACCTATGATATACTGAAACATACACAGTACATTACCTATGATATACTGAAACATACAAAGTACATTACCTATGATATACTGAAACATACACAGTACATTACCTATGATATACTGAAACATACACAGTACATTACCTATGATATACTGAAACATACACAGTACATTACCTATGATATTCTGAAACATACACAGTACATTACCTATGATATACTGAAACATACATAGTACATTACCTATGATATACTGAAACATACACAGTACATTACCTATGATATACTGAAACATACACAGTACATTACCTATGATATACTGAAACATACACAGTACATTACCTATGATATACTGAAACATACACAGTACATTACCTATGATATACTGAAACATACACAGTACATTACCTATGATATACTGAAACATACACAGTACATTACCTATGATATACTGAAACATACACAGTACATTACCTATGATATACTGAAACATACACAGTACATTACCTATGATATACTGAAACATACACAGTACATTACCTATGATATACTGAAACATACACAGTACATTACCTATAAATTTACTTACAAACAAGAATATACCTGTTAATCTATTCATGTATATTCATTGTATCTTTTATATATTCATGTACTTTATATATGTGAATCTATATTATCAATATGTGAATCTTTTATATATTCATGTTAATCTTTTATATATTCATGTTAATCTTTTTATATATTCATTTTTAATCTTTTATATATTCATGAGTAATCTTTTTATATATTCATTATTATAATCTATTTATATATTCTGTTAAATCTTTTATATATTCGTGTGTTAATCTATTTATATATTCAGTGTTAATCTTTTATATATTCATGTGTTATCTTATATATATTCATGTGTTAATCTATTTATATTCATGTGTTAATCTTTTATATATATTCATGGTTAATCATATATTCATGTGTTAATCTTTTATATATTCTATGTAAATCTTTTTATATATTCATGTGTTAATCTTTTTATATATTCATGTGTTATCATTTATATATTCATGTGTTAATCTTTTTATATATTCATGTGTTAATCTATTTATACCAATGTATTAATTTAATCTTTATATATTCATAGTGTTAATCTTTTATATATTCATGTTAAATCTTTTATATATTCATGTGTTAATCTATTTATATATTCATGTGTTAATCTTTTATATATTCATGTTAATCTTTTATATATTCATGTAATCATTTATATATTCTTGTTAATCTTTTTATATATTCATGTGTTAATCTTTTTATATATTCATGTGTTAATCTATTCATATATTCGTGTTAATCTTTTATATATTCATGTGTTAATCTTTTTATATATTCATGTGTTAATCTTTTTATATATTCATGTTAATCTTTTTATATATTCATGTGTTAATCTTTTTATATATTCATGTGTTAATCTATTCATATATTCATGTGTTAATCTTTTTATATATTCATGTGTTAATCTTTTATATATTCATGTGTTAATCTTTATATATTCATGTGTTAATCTATTCATATATTCATGTGTTAATCTATTTATATATTCATGTGTTAATCTTTTATATATTCATGTTAATCTTTTATATATTCATGTTAATCTTTTATATATTCATGTGTTAATCTTTTTATATATTCATGTGTTTATATTTTAATATATTCATGTGTTAATCTTTTTATATATTCATGTGTTAATCTATTCATATATTCATGTGTTAATCTATTTATATATTCATGTGTTAATCTATTCATATATTCATGTGTTAATCTATTTATATATTCATGTGTTAATCTTTTTATATATTCATGTGTTAATCTTTTTATATATTCATGTGTTAATCTATTCATATATTCATGTGTTAATCTATTTATATATTCATGTGTTAATCTTTTTATATATTCATGTGTTAATCTTTTTATATATTCATGTGTTAATCTTTTTATATATTCATGTGTTAATCTTTTTATATATTCATGTGTTAATCTTTTTATATATTCATGTGTTAATCTTTTTATATATTCATGTGTTAATCTTTTTATATATTCATGTGTTAATCTATTTATATATTCATGTGTTAATCTTTTTATATATTCATGTGTTAATCTATTCATATATTCATGTGTTAATCTATTCATATATTCATGTGTTAATCTTTTTATATATTCATGTGTTAATCTTTTTATATATTCATGTGTTAATCTTTTTATATATTCATGTGTTAATCTTTTTATATATTCATGTGTTAATCTATTTATCGCTCCACATATTTTTCTAAGGACACCTAAACCTGATACTCTGTATTATAAAGTGTACAGTAGTTAGTGCAAGGCTAGTGTAGGCAGTGACAGGGAAGTGTTAGATGACAAAAAATAGAAACATTTTACACACACACACTTGGGAAGTTATTAGAAGCATAATGTAGTACAGTTAACCCTCACTTTACGCGGTTAATGTAACCCGGAGGGTCCCGCGTAAAGTGAGAAACGCGTAAAGTGAATAACATAACATATGGGATTAATTGAAATGGAGTCCGGGCCGATCCCCAAACTCCACTTTTGACGACACAACTATGTTGTAGTAAAAATATTATCTTAACTTTATGATGGTATGCACACACAATTAATAATTAAGAGAAATATCAATAATATTAGGTTTTTTAACACTTACATTAGTAGAAAAAATGGCTGGGCACACGGGGATGGGCGGTTGGTTCCGAGGCAGAGGGCAGATTATTGGCCCTCACCTGTGTCACTTGTATCAATTGTATCACTATCCACCACAGAGGCTTGCAGGGCCTCTTTGTCAAACTCCCCAAAGTCCATATAAGTCCATATCCTCACCATAATTATCACTATCACTGACTTGGGCCGGCTGTGGTGGGTGGCGGGTGAAGAACTGGTAATGTTTTGATGACTGGGCGACCTTGTGCGCACCATGTTCGCGCCGCTTACACAACATGGCGGATGGCGGGAGGTTTGGATCCAAAAATGGCGCGGCTCGCCAGCCGCTCTCCGTGTAAAGGGGAACACGCACCGCGGAATGTGAGCATCCTGGGTTCCGGCAGGGCACCGCGTAAACGTGGAAACGCGGAATGTGGGACCGCGTAAAGTGAGGGTTAACTGTATTGTCTAATGTTAGACCCTGCTGCCATACAGGGTATTGGCATCATAGAAATTGTGACCAAGTCGCAGGTTGCTCATCTGATTTTCTGCCACATTTACACACAATTGCAGGGTCTCAATTGTTTCTCTTACTTTGACAACACAACACATACACTGTACTGTTTATCGTTTCTCACTATCTTTTTATTTTATTTTTGTACAGGTATTTGTTTATGGTTCTTAATTATTTTTTTTTTAAGTTTTATTGTATTTTTTATTTATTTTTATTAATTTGTATTATTATTATTATTATTATTATTATTATTATTATTATTATTGTATATACCACCCCCCAGGCCCCAATGTGGTCAGTGACATGTGTTCGAGTGGGCCAATCTAGGTAAAAAAATAAACACACACACTCACCTCAGTTAAGGCGTGCACTTGGCCCTCGTTGACACACACGCCATAATAACTGTAAATAGAGAAATATTTTTTAGTAAATTTAAACAAACTAATTTGTCCCAATATGGTACAGTACAATACAATGCAGTACAGTACAATGCAGTACAATACAATGCAGTACAGTATAGTATGGTACAGTACAGTACAGTGCAGTGCAGTGCAGTACTGTACAGTACAGTGCAGTGCAGTGCAGTACTGTACAGCACAGTGCAGTGCAGTACAGCACAATACAGTACGGTACAATACAGTACAGTACAGTAAAGTATGGTACGGTATGGTACAGTACAGTGCAGTACAGTAAGGTACAGTATGGTACAGTACAGTACAGCACAGTATGGTACAGTACAGTACGGTATGGTACAGGACAGTGTGGTACGGTAGAGTACAGTGCAGTACAGTAAGGTACAGTGCAGTACAGTATGGTAAGGTACAGTACAGTAGAGTACAGTGCAGTACAGTACAGTGCAATGCAGTACATTACATTGTGTGTGTACTGTACAGTACAGTACTTTGTGTGTGTACAGTACAGTACTTTGTGTATGTACTGTACAGTACAGTACTTTGTGTATGTACTGTACAGTACAGTACTTTGTGTGTGTACTGTACAGTACAGTACTTTGTGTGTACTGTACAGTACAGTACTTTCTGTGTTTACTGTACAGTACTTTGTGTGTTTACTGTACAGTACTTTGTGTGTGTACTGTACATGGTGATTAACACTAAGACAAATATTTCAACGGCAGCAAGTTAAATATGAGTGTTGTAACACCTATAATAATTATAAACCACTGCTAACATTAACTGTATACCACAAATTACACACTAGTAAGACACTAGTAAGACACTCATATAATTTAAAACACAATGCTAACAATTATCACACTCATTAGTGTTAACACATATACCACACTAGTAACAAACTTTTAATACACTGAAAACACTTACACAACACTGGTAACTATTGTAACACTTACAACACACTTATAACACCCCAATAAATATTATTAACACTTATTACACACTTGTATCACCCTTATAAATTTTTTTTAACACTTATAACACACTTGTATCACCCTTAAAAAGATTGTTAACACTTATAACACACTTACAACACACTTGTATCACCCTTATAAAGACTGTTAACACTTATAATACACTTACAACACACTTGTATCACCGTATAAAGACTGTTAACACTTACAACACACTTGTATCACCCTTATAAAGACTGTTAACACTTACAACACACTTGTGTCACCCTTAAAAAGATTGTTAACACTTACAACACACTTGTATCACCCTTATAAAGACTGTTAACACTTATAACACACTTGTATCACCCTTATAAAGATTGTTAACACTTACAACACACTTGTATCACCCCTATAAAGATTGTTAACACTTACAACACACTTGTATCACCCTTATAAAGATTGTTAACACTTACAACACACTTGTATCACCCCTATAAAGATTGTTAACACTTACAACACACTTGTATCACCCCTATAAAGATTGTTAACACTTACAACACACTTGTATCACCCTTATAAAGATTGTTAACACTTACAACACACTTGTATCACCCCTATAAAGATTGTTAACACTTACAACACACTTGTATCACCCTTATAAAGATTGTTAACACTTACAACACACTTGTATCACCCTTATAAAGATTGTTAACACTTATAACACACTTGTATCACCCTTATAAAGATTGTTAACACTTATAACACACTTGTATCACCCCTATAAAGACTGTTAACACTTACAACACATTTGTATCACCGTTATAAAGACTGTTAACACTTACAACACACTTGTATCACCCTTATAAAGACTGTTAACACTTACAACACACTTGTATCACCCTATAAAGATTGTTAACACTTACAACACACTTGTATCACCCTTATAAAGATTGTTAACACTTACAATACACTTGTATCACCCCTATAAAGATTGTTAACACTTACAACACACTTGTATCACCCTTATAAAGATTGTTAACACTTACAACACACTTGTATCACCCTTATAAAGACTGTTAACACTTACAACACACTTGTATCACCCCTATAAAGATTGTTAACACTTACAAAACACTTGTATCACCCTTATAAAGACTGTTAACACTTACAACCCACTTGTATCACCCCTATAAAGATTGTTAACACTTACAACACACTTGTATCACCCTTATAAAGACTGTGCTACTTACCTTTTGCTGTATCACCCTTAAAAAGATTGTTAACACTTATAACACACTTGTATCACCCCTATAAAGACTGTTAACACTTACAACACATTTGTATCACCGTTATAAAGACTGTTAACACTTACAACACACTTGTATCACCCTTATAAAGATTGTTAACACTTATAACACACTTGTATCACCCCTATAAAGATTGTTAGCACTTACAACACATTTGTATCACCGTTATAAAGACTGTTAACACTTACAACACACTTGTATCACCCCTATAAAGACTGTTAACACATACAACACACTTGTATCACCCTTATAAAGATTGTTAACACTTACAACACACTTGTATCACCCCTATAAAGACTGTTAACACTTACAACACACTTGTATCACCCCTATAAAGATTGTTAACACTTACAACACACTTGTATCACCGTTATAAAGACTGTTAACACTTACAACACACTTGTATCACCCTTAAAAAGATTGTTAACACTTACAACACACTTGTATCACCCTTATAAAGATTGTTAACACTTACAACACACTTGTATCACCCTTATAAAGACTGTTAACACTTACAACACACTTGTATCACCCTTAAAAAGATTGTTAACACTTACAACACACTTGTATCACCATAAAAAGATTGTTAACATACAACACTTGTGTCACCCATATAAAGATTGTTAACACTTACAACACCTTGTATCACCCTATAAAGACTGTTTAACGCTTACAACACACTTGTATCACCCTATAAAGTTGTTAACACTTACAAAAGTATCACTTGTATCACCCTTATAAGACTGTTAACACTTATAGCTTGCTTGTATCACCGTATAGAGACTGTTAACACTTACAACACATATATCCGCCCTTATAAAGGACTGTTAACACTTACAACACACTTGTATCACCCTTATAAAGATTGTTAACACCCACAACACACTTGTATCTTATATAAAAGTTGTTAACACTTACAACACACTTGTATCACCCTTATAAAGATTGTTAACACTTACAACACACTTGTATCACCCCTATAAAGACTGTTAACACTTACAACACACTTGTATCACCCTTATAAAGACTGTTAACACTTACAACACACTTGTATCACCCTTATAAAGACTGTTAACACTTACAACACACTTGTATCACCGTATAAAGACTGTTAACACTTACAACACACTTGTATCACCCCTATAAAGACTGTTAACACTTACAACACACTTGTATCACCCTTATAAAGACTGTTAACACTTACAACACACTTGTATCACCCTTATAAAGACTGTTAACACTTACAACACACTTGTATCACCCTTATAAAGATTGTTAACACTTACAACACACTTGTATCACCCTTATAAAGACTGTTAACACTTACAACACACTTGTATCACCCTTATAAAGATTGTTAACACTTACAACACACTTGTATCACCCTTATAAAGATTGTTAACACTACAACACACTTGTATCACCCTTAAAAAGATTGTTAACACTTATAACACACTTACAACACACTTGTATCACCCTTATAAAGACTGTTAACACTTATAACACACTTGTATCACCCTTATAAAGACTGTTAACACTTACAACACACTTGTATCACCCTTATAAAGACTGTTAACACTTACAACACACTTGTATCACCCCTATAAAGATTGTTAACACTTACAACACACTTGTATCACCCTTATAAAGATTGTTAACACTACAACACACTTGTATCACCCTTAAAAAGATTGTTAACACTTATAACACACTTACAACACACTTGTATCACCCTTATAAAGACTGTTAACACTTATAACACACTTGTATCACCCTTATAAAGACTGTTAACACTTACAACACACTTGTATCACCCTTATAAAGACTGTTAACACTTACAACACACTTGTATCACCCTTAAAAAGATTGTCCCAACACTTGTATCACCCTTAAAAAGATTTTACAACACCTTGTATCACCTATAAAATTTTAACACTTACAACACTTGTATCACCCTTATAAAGATTGTTAACACTTACCTTGTATCACCCTTAAAGATATTGACAACACTTATAAAAAGATTGTTACACTTATAACACTACACACCTTGTATCTTCTAAAAGATTGTTAACAATCCTTACAACACACTTATCACCCTTATAAAGACTGTTAACACTTACAACACACTTGTATCCCCTAGTTATTTAACACTTTAACACTTGTATCACCCATATAAAGATTGTTAACACTTACCACACTTATCACTTCATAAAGACTGTTAACATACACTTTGTATCACCCTAAAAGATTGTTAACACTTAATACACTTGTATCACCCTTATAAAGATTGTTAACACTTACAACACACTTGTATCACCCTATAAGATTGTTAACACTTACAACACACTTGTATCCCTTATAAAGATTGTTAACACTTACAACTATTATCACCTTATAAAGACTGTTAACACTTACAACACACTTGTATCACCCTTATAAAGACTGTTAACACACAACACCTTATCACCCTATAAAAGACTGTTAACACTTACAACACACTTGTATCAACCCATAAAGACTGTTAACATTTACAACACACTTGTATCACCCCTATAAAGACTGTTAACACTTACAACACCTTGTATCACCCTTATAAAGACTGTTAACACTTACAACACACTTGTATCACCCTATAAAAGACTGTTAACACTTACAACACACTTGTATCACCCCTTATAAGATTGTTAACACTACACACACTTGTATCACCCCTTATAAAGACTGTTAACACTTACAACACCTTATCACCATATAAAGACTGTTAACATACACACACCTTATAAAGCTTTCCTTACAACACAAATAAAGTTTAACACCCTTGTATCACCCTTATAAAGATTGTTAACACTTACAACACACTTGTATCACCCTTATAAAGACTGTTAACACTTACAACACTTGTATCACCTATAAAGATTGTTAACACTTACAACACACTTATCTCACCCTTAAAGACTGTTAACACTTACAACACACTTGTATCACCCTATAAAAAGTTATTTAACACACAACACACTTGTATCACCCTATAAAGATTTACTTACAACACCTTACACCCTTATAAAGTTGTTAACACTTACAACACACTTGTATCACCCTTATAAAGACTGTTAACACTTACAACACACTTGTATCACCCTTATAAGTTAACACTTACAACACTATCACCCTTATAAAGATTGTTAACACACAACACACTTGTATCACCCTAAAAAGATTGTTAACACTTATAACACACCTAACACACTTTATCACCCATATAAAGACTGTTAACATATAACACCTTGTATCACCCATATAAGACTGTTAACACTTACAACATATATCACCTTAAAGACTGTTAACACTTACAACACATGTATCACCCTAAAAGACTGTTAACACTTACAACACACTTGTATCACCCTATAAGATTGTTAACACTTACAACACATTTGTATCACCCCTATAAAGACTGTTAACACTTACAACACCTTGTATCACCCTTATAAAGACTGTTAACACTTTAACCACTTGTATCACCCATATAAGACTGTTAACACTTACAACACTTGTATCACCCTTAAAAGATTGTTAACACTTACAACACACTTGTATCACCCGTATAAAGATAGTTAACACTTACAACTTATCACCCTTATAAAGACTGTTAACACTTACAACCTTGTATCCTTATAAAGATTGTTAACACTTACAACACACTTGTATCACCCTTATAAAGATTGTTAACACTTACAACACACTTGTATCAACCTTTAAAAGATTGTTAACACTTATAACTACAAAAAATTTGTATCACTTATAAAGACTGTTAACACTTATAAATAATAATTTGTATCAACTTTATAAAGACTGTTAACACTTACAACACACTTGTATCACCCTTATAAAGACTGTTAACACTTACAACACACTTGACACCCTATAAAGACTGTTAACACTTACAACACACTTGTATCACCCCTATAAAGATTGTTAACACTTACAACACACTTGTATCCCCTTATAAAGACTGTTAACACTTACAAATAATTTGTATCACCCTATAAAGACTGTTAACACTTACAACACACTTGTATCAACTAAAGACTGTTAACACTTACAACACAACTTGTATCAACCTTTATAAAGACTGTTAACACTTACAACACACTTGTATCATCATAAAGACTGTTACACTACAAACACCTTGTATCACCCTTATAAAGACTGTTAACACTTACAACACACTTGTATCACCCTATAAGATTGTTAACACTTACAACACACTTGTATCACCTTTATAAAGACTGTTAACACTTACAACAAACTTGTATCACCCCTATAAAGATTGTTAACACTTAAACACATTTGTACCTAAAGAGTTAAACTACAACATTGTATCACCAAAAGATTGTTAACACTTACAACACACTTGTATCACCTTTATAAAGACTGTTAACACTTACAACACACTTGTATCAATTCTTTAAAGACTGTTAACACTTACAACACACTTGTATCACCTTATAAAGACTGTTAACTTACAACACACTTGTATCACCCTTAAAAGATTGTTAACACTTATAACACACTTACACACACTTGTATCACCCTTATAAAGACTGTTAACACTTACAACACACTTGTATCACCCTCTATAAAGATTGTTAACACTTACAACACACTTGTATCACCCTTATAAAGACTGTTAACACTTACAACACACTTGTATCACCCTTAAAGACTGTTAACACTTACAACACACTTGTATCAAATTCTATAAAGATTGTTAACACTTACAACACACTTTGTATCACCCTTATAAAGACTGTTAACACTTACAACACACTTGTATCAATTCTCTATAAAGATTGTTAACACTTACAACACACTTGTATCACCCTTATAAAGACTGTTAACACTTACAACACATTTGTATCACTTTATAAAGACTGTTAACACTACAACACACTTGTATCACCTATAAAGATTGTTAACACTTATAACACACTTGTATCACCCTTATAAAAGACTGTTAACACTTACAAATAATAATTTGTATCACCCTTATAAAGACTGTTAACACTTACAACAAATTTGTATCACCCCTATAAAGATTGTTAACACTAAAACACTTGTATCCCCTTATAAAGACTGTTAACACTTACAACACACTGTATCACCCTATAAAGATTGTTAACACTTACAACACACTTGTATCAACCTTTATAAAGACTGTTAACACTATAACAAACTTGTATCAATTCTTAAAGACTGTTAACACTTACAACACACTTGTATCACCCTTATAAAGACTGTTAACACCTTACAACACACTTGTATCACCTTATAAAGACTGTTAACACTTACAACACACTTTGTATCACCCTTAAAAAGATTGTTAACACTTAAACACACTTACAACACACTTGTATCACCCTTATAAAGACTGTTAACACTTACAACACACTTGTATCACCCCTATAAAGATTGTTAACACTTACAACACACTTGTATCACCCTTATAAAGACTGTTAACACTTACAAACAATTTGTATCACCCCTATAAAGATTGTTAACACTTACAAAAACTTGTATCACCCTTTATAAAGACTGTTAACACTTACAACACACTTGTATCAACTCTATAAAGACTGTTAACACTTACAACACACTTGTATCACCCCTATAAAGATTGTTAACACTTCAATAACTTGTATCAACCCTTATAAAGACGTTAACACTACAACACACTTGTATCAACCCTATAAAGATTGTTAACACTTACAACACACTTGTATCACCCTTATAAAGACTGTTAACACTTACAACACACTTGTATCACCCCTATAAAGACTGTTAACACTTACAACACACTTGTATCAACTTCTATAAAGATTGTTAACACTTACAACACACTTGTATCACCCTATAAAGACTGTTAACACTTACAACACAATTTGTATCACCCTATAAAGATTGTTAACACTTACAACACACTTGTATCACCCTTATAAAGACTGTTAACACTTACAACACATTTGTATCACCCTTATAAAGACTGTTAACACTTACAACACACTTGTATCACCCCTATAAAGATTGTTAACACTTACAACACACTTGTATCACCCTTTATAAAGACTGTTAACACTTACAACACACTTGTATCACCCTTATAAAGACTGTTAACACTTACAACACACTTGTATCACCCCTATAAAGATTGTTAACACTTACAACACACTTGTATCACCCCTATAAAGATTGTTAACACTTACAACACACTTGTATCACCCCTATAAAGATTGTTAACACTTACAACACACTTGTATCACCCCTATAAAGATTGTTAACACTTACAACACACTTGTATCAACCTTATAAAGACTGTTAACTATTGTAACTCACCTGAGAATGTTGGGGTGGTGAAGACGGTTCATAAGCTCCACTTCACGTAACATGTTGTGACGGTTACTGATGAGTTTGTTCATCTTGAGCACCATCACGTCACCCGTCACGCGATGTCGAACCTGCCCACAACACAAACAACATGAGTCAGTAGCTCAATGAAACCCAATCCTGACAGCCATTCACTAACAACCAGTTCTCTTGTAACTGTACTGTATATTTTATA